ACAGAACTTTTGAGTAAGAATGCGTCAGAGATGACCAGCTCTCACCGATGACCACCATTTGAAAACATTAACTGGTACAAAATTGAGGATAACAATTTAACAGCTTGCAGAGGCATAAAATGAATGAGAAGCGAGGGAGTCGACTTCATGAAGTTTCTCCTACATTTTTTATGTGTAGGAATAGTGATTTTGGTCGCACTTTGATTTGCGGTAAAGGATTCTTTACGACGACCGACAATGTTGTGAGCAACGGTTGGTTAAGGATGGAACGCTTACACAGATTTAGAAGAAATTTCCCTCCATAAGAAGGTTATGAGAGGCTCCTCAACTCAGCATATACAATCTTCTTCAAGCTCAGCAGTCGTCCGTCCACTGTAACTTGCCAAATCCTTTTAAAACCACTAAACACTGTCAAAAAATCGACAGTATACAGCAATAATTGCACCTTAAACGATTGGCATTGCTATATCACAAAGCGCCAGCTCTGTTCCTAGAGGTACTGGAGCACGAAAGTCTTCCTCAAGCACACTTATCGAACTTCTCGGCAACTAGCTACTATTTTTTTAATCGGCTCGATAACCAATTATTTGAAAATGTGTCTACAAAGCAAACATTTGACGAAGATGGTTTGAAAAATCGCCAGCTCTGGAAGCACAGGATTCTGCATTAATGAAACAAATAACCATGTCTAAATCAGTCTAACGATTTGGATTTCGGTTCAGAAGATGTATATGGTAGCTCTGAAATATTTCCTGAAAGTTAAAAACTGATATTAATTCCAAAAAAGCTTGTGAATTGAAAATAAACGAGTATGTTGCACCTAAAGATAACAGAAACCAAAAAACGAACTACAAAAAAAATAGCTTCTTGTTGATGGCCTTCAGTTGTTCGAAGTTTCACAAAATGCGCATTTAAACCGTGTATAGATTTCCGCTCTACAAGGGATGGTCATATTTTCTTAAAAAAAAAAAAACTATTGTTAGAAGACGCTGGTCCACCTCTAGTCTATTCAGCCATGCGCACATGCACCTACTCACAAGCGGCTAGCGTTCGTGGCCTGAAAACCCTTTATACGGAACCATATTTGCTACGATTCATAAATTTCTTTCTTATTCCTATGAGTCTTCTTCAAAAGTAGTTCAAGTTACTGTCTTCACATCCGCTAACTGCTTGATTTGTTGAGTCAGACTAATTTTTCTCAGTGAATCCTACCTAACTATTGAAATTAACATATTGAGAACCCGTTTGATATCTGGTGTAATGCAGAATCTAAATTCACTTGACGATACACTTTTTTTAAAATCATCCTGCAGTCCTAAAATAACAGGCGGTTGAGACACCGTCACTACAGCCTATGTCCTTTATTGGGAACGATCCTCGTTAAAGCACTCTGAGATGTGATGCGTCTCTGAGAGATTTTGTTTGCTCTTCACCTGCCATGAATCATGCAGAACGTCAACAGATAACACCGCGAACGGCTGAAGAGCTACATAAAATTCACCTGGCAATCATTATATAATGGATCCATTCGCGAAAGTCGAAGTGTGTATGAGGACATCTCGTGGACATCACAATAGTAAAGCTGATTGGAAGACTTCCTAAATAGAATTCAATATTGAAATACTTCCCTTACTGAAGCGTCAACTATTCGTCTTACTTGAAAATTAACTGCCCGTTTGGTCTTGCTGCAACAGATTTTCCAGGTGAATCAACACCAGTCACCGAAAGGCAGTCCCGTAGTGTGTGTGGCTCCATCGCTACTGATAAAGTATACTCAAACCATTGGAAGAATTTCATTCTAAGAAGAAGAAAGAAAGGTGAGCAGAAGGGATAGCAAATTTGTGTACATTCACAAGCCCTACAACTATGTTGTTAAAAGGAATTATGATTGAGGAGCGATAATTATCAAGGGACTGCCAACCTGCCCATTTTATCAGTGCAATTCAGTTCGTGGTGGAATCGCCATCTACAGAGGACGCAACACCAATTTGCTTATCAAGAAGCTTAATCCACATGAAAACACTCTAGTTATTTAATAAGTAGGTGGAGAAATAGATCTAGCACTACTATTCCACGCAAAAGCGGAAACCCATGAATTTTATTCCTCATGGAACTCATTCAATGTGAAAAACTCTAAACATTTGTTGAAATGCAGAAAATTTTAAGAACTGGATAGTCATGGAAACGATGGGAACTTGACATAACTACCAATGGTGAAAAACTAACTGGCTGTTACAAATTTTACACAAATAGATAATGATCCCATAGAATGCTACTATATCCGAAACGTAGGTGCCATTAATCTAGCGTTGTCCGATTATGAAAGGAAGTCTTGATTTTAGGGGATGACGATTCAAAAACTTGACATTGTTTTGATTTCCCTAATACTCTAGGTTGATATGTCATCAATCACACAAGTTATGAAAGGATTATGAAAGGAAGTCTTGATTTTAGGGGATGACGATTCAAAAACTTGACATTGTTTTGATTTCCCTAATACTCTAGGTTGATATGTCATCAATCACACAAATAATCTCGGTAAAAGTGGTTTCCTCCTTCCTTGAAAATTTGGCACTAAATGGGTTTGCAGTACACCATTTTTAACCTCTTCCATTTTCAAAGCATTCGAATGGACTCCTGTTGATACAGAAAACCATTTGTGTGCCATCCGATAAAGCAAATAGTTCATGATATACTTCGAAAAAAGCATATGAGAAAAAGTCGTTAACACTTAGAGAAATATAGGTGAGACCATGCTATGTCGGACGGAAGCAATTCAATGTTCGACAAAGAATTTGCAAGCAATAAAAACAAAGACCACTTGGAGTTTTCTTTTAAGAATGGGATACTCTAGGACTCGAAGACCTCCGTAAAATATGGAGGTAAAAACGGCATCCATTACAGGAACGTAAAGAAACAGAACTGGATCTGTTCCACTCTTCTATTGAACTATATTGTTATCCTGTAGTATAAATATCATCTCTAGTAAGCGGGCATCAATACGTTTCCCATTCGTTTGTCATGCGTAATAGCTGCGTAGTAAACTTCAGTCAAGCGAGGTATACGAACATGGCCGCAAGTTTTGTATGGAAAACCTTTCTGTTCACATCCTAAGTATGGCAGCTACATCGGGCTACGTCGTAGGTGGTTTGGTCTTCTCACTGGTAGCTTGTTTTCCTTATAGTGGTATACCTATTCAGTGGAGCCTATCCCAAAGCGCTTCCCCATATTCCAGTCATTTGTCAACCTCTTCCCGAATAGAGTAAAATAGGACAGTCTGATATATCCATGTACAACTTTCGACATGATTACACGTATACAGCACCGAAAGTTAATCCGGCGGGTGCTTAAGATAGAGCCAGTTTTATACCCTGAGAATATAAATTAAATAGAAGGTCAGACGTTGATCTCCTACATTGAGAATTCTTACTCTTAACAGGCCAGTCTACTACTAATTTACTAACCGTCTAGTAATAAACCCACTTCTAGGAGAAGTGGTTCCCAAAACTGAGGGTAGTCCGTTGCTTGCAAAATGTGAACTCTTCTACAAAGCACAAGTTGGAATAATTGGGACAAAAAATGACAAAAACGGTTGTACTTTGACAAAAGCTACAAGAGAAATGTTGAATATGTAAATACAGCGAGTGAATGAGACGACATCAGTATGTCACCATAAAAACCGGTTTAATCTGAATAAGGTCACCCGTCACACTATGCAAAGAGCTTCAGAAGCGTTGTTGCGCCGAATTTTTACTAACCTTGATAACTGGAACCCGAAGGAGAAATGGCTTTGTACCAGATTTTATCGCGTAGAAAATTCGACGATGACGGTTAAGCAGCATTCAGTGATCGTACACATAGTATTCAGTCTCAGTAATCATTACTATTCCACAAGGGAAAAACCCGCAACAATCATAAATACGTCCCTCTTAATCCGCTTCTCAATTCTAGAGCCGAATATTTTAAATCAGTGAAATTCCAATGTTATACTTCCACTCCAGTAAAGTAAGTCAGTTCATGATGATATGGCTTCCTCACCTCGGAAATTCTTTGTTGGTTCATTTATGGAGTGTCTGCTGTTATCAGCCGCGTTTTCACTTTTTTCAGGCAGTGTCCATATATCAGTACAAATAACATATAGGAGCCACTTTCATTCTTCACTTTGTAATTCTTATACAGGGTTTTACTATCAACATAAAACTTGAAGATGAATGGAAAATCAGTTGACACAGTGCAATATAGTAGCTCTCGTGGCAGTTGGAACGAAAACAGAGGTACAGATTAAGGGCCATAATTCTTCGAAGACCAGAACAACGAAGAGGAAAAAAAACGAACACAGTTGAATGACTCATGCAGGCGGATGCGTGCGGGGTGGAGCTGAGATGTCAACTACAGTTGAAATCGCGGTGTGCACAGTTCCATCTTCATTGATAAGGTGTCTGAGATCGATAGCAGCAAAACCATTGAACTAATGTAAAACGGAAAACTCACATAATAAGCAAGAAAAGGGCCTATGAGAGCTATCAACCGAAAAACTATCCAATGATTCAGTTGTTCGGATTTTTGAACAATATACAAAGAAGTGAGTGTAGACTTCTGTCCAATCTCTTAGGTAAAAATTGAAAAAAACCATGCCTCATCCTCCACAAAGTGTCCATAATTTGATCGAACAAGACCATAAGTACACATTATTAAATAAATCTTTCGAAAGCAGACTACAGGATTTACTAATTCCGTAGTTTTTCCAGATGTAAAGTAGCTGCATAGTTTCAACACCCTTTGGAATGATATGAACCCTTTCAAAACTACATTTCGAATTCTATTACTTGAACTTAGTTTGTGCCCACTTCTTGATTAATGGTAAAGTACTTTCTCACCTCAATCTTAACCAAACAAAACGTAAGACAAAATTTGTAGAGTTTATTTAAATAAGCAACTGAGAAATAGACAACAATATGCTTTGAAAATACATAACAACAACAGCAAGTTAACTCTCACAACTACTCAACTGAGTCTTCCGGTATTTTCTTTTTCACATAAAAACTTGCATAGGTGGAGTTTATGGATCCCTTCGCTTTTGCTTTCGGTCCCCAATTTTTACCCTAGGAGAAACGTCATTACGTTGCAACAGTAACCGTTGTGTGCTAAATTAAAATTCATTCCGACCTTATTGCATTGAAACCGGACCATCTGATCAGTCTTCGTCTGAAAAGTGGCTTTTGGATGAAGTTGAAAATTGACCTCACTCCTGAAAAGACCAAATTTAATTTCCCATAAGATTGATTTCACAAACTCTACAGATTTTTGCCTGTTTATATCTTGCCATATTTTGTAAATATTTTTTGTACGACATTTCCAAAAGATTTGCAGTTCCGCAAATGAAGTAAAGAGCGATTCTTATAGGACAGCAAACGGCAAAGAACAACAGATAAACATGTTGTTGTTTCATTCTCCACAGAATAGTCAAGCTAACTACGAACAACCTCGAGAAGGTTGAAAGTATTACTACTCTAATACCGGTGTGAAACCAGTGACCATTAGAGCAAGTGGCCTAGCACGTACTCTTACAATTAAAGGTGCAAAAAAAAATTCAGAACGTTATGCTAAGCTTGGAACTAGCTATGAAAGACGGTTATTGCAACTATGAAAACTTCAAAAATTACAACGTACACTCACGTTATTTCCTCCGACAAAATCTTTCGTCCTGGTGCTTTTTCGTCGTGCCTATTAGCTAGCACATTGGCTTCCTTAGCCTGTAAAGCAGGACTTAAATGAGAAAGGTGAATCTCTCTAGCAAGCTGCAAGGCATTACGCCTGTGGAGAAATAGACTGAAGAAAGAAATGAGTACAACCCCTAAAAAGAGATGCTTATTAAGCACCAATGAACATCATAGAGTGAGGTTAGTACATTCGTGGATAAACTAACATTGTTGGTATTTGGGATGTCATGTTGACACTAAGTACGCAACTGGAAGTTTGCCTATGACCGAAAGAGGATTGTTGAGCATTTTTGAGTTTTTATTATCGCTTTGAAATAACATGCAACTCTGTAACGAAAAAAATGATGAGTAGAACCAGAGATATCTAGCCCACCATTCTTCCCCTTGCGAAACAACCAGAATCAATTGATTTTTTTTTCTTTTATCACAAATTGTACATGAACCTTTACGTGGACTTTTGAATATTCAGTTTTCGATCAGCAGACATAAATCAGTTGGAAGAAATCTTGTTTCGCAATGGATTAGACTTCGGTGCATTTCTCCTCCTGCAGTTGCTTGGTGAAGTTAGTCTATTCGCAAAAAACTGACAGGAACAGTTCCACGATTTCCCGGAAACTCATCTTTTATTACGTAAGCACACCAAAGATAGTGAAAGAAATCACCATTATTTTTAAACGGGCTCAACAAATCGTGACAATCGAGTTTAACTCAGATCTTACATGGCGATTATAACCTCGATTTCCCAGATGGCGCTTTGATCTATATGCTCCCATATTGGACAAATCGACAGATATCCAAAAGTTGAGGTGTGAAAAGTATGAAATTAGATCTGAACAAATTCGAAAACTCACAACGAATCTGCAAATGTCCCATAAGAAGCTCGTAGGTGCGTCCGTTTTGAGTGCACGCGGGTTACAATGGGATCCAGAAACCTTCAATTTTGTATTAAAAGTAGAGAACGTCCACGGCCACACCGATAAGGAATTACCTTATATCCCGCATTCAGAATCGCTGACTTGACAGCTATTAATTTAGGAACTGAACATTTAACGACATTGAATAGCTGGTCGTGCTCATAGTAAAGGGGAACATCAAGTTCCTAAACAGGCAACGAATTTAGAACTAATTGACAAGCATACATCTACACGACACTATACGTTTAAGTACGGATATCTTTATGCGTGTAAGCACATATAGAAGTTCCTACGACCGATTTTCTCTCAACCTCGGCATTGATCAAACAATTATTTATATTCCTGTTGAGCAAATATGAGGTTTATCTGCCATTTATTTCAGTAAAGTCAACGTTTTCGAGGATTCCGCCTTCTCCAGAGCCTGGAAACGGTAGACTCCGGCCAACTTGAGCATTCCAAACTAAGGAAGGTTAAATCCACCGAAGTGTCAGCTTTACCGGAGCAAAGAGTAAAATAACACCTCATGTTTGCTCGAAAGGAATATAGAGAATTTAAAGGCGCTGAAGAAATAAGCAACTATTCGTGCCGTTTAGCTAGTGCTTGACATTGTACGAACTATGTCACCAGCGAAGCCATTATGTACTAGCTCCACGCGATAGAAAGCATTCACCATCGCAGGACGGTTAATATAGAGTTATAAACTCGAAAACGAGAAATTTTGACCAGTTAAGCCACCGTTTTCTTGTTGCCACATTTTTATTTGCAAAAAAAAAGACGAAGATCAGTTTCATAACTATTTGTATATTGAACAGCAAAAACCCGCTGATGTATTATGACAACGTAGATGTATAAACAACATCAAACTGAACTCTTCGCAAGAAATGTAAAATTAAGCTAAAAAGTTCATTAGGTTTGTTGATTAGTTGGGAACGCTCCGCAGCATATAGTTTTCTTAGGAAAATAGGCTGCTAATTAAAGCGCTTTCACTTCTTCAATATTTCTTAAGCAAGGCATGACTTTGATGTTTATGTACCGGAAAGGGGACGCCCATGGCGCAGTGGCACGAGGCGCCCTGCAGGTAGCACGCATGAGATCGATCCCCGTACCCATGGCCCACCAAGCCTTCCATCCCTCCGCGGTCGGCAAATTGGTACGACTTGCCTGGGATGATAGTAGCATTGGCTCGATACGTCAGTAGGCCACCGCCAGTAACTGTAAAGGCCAGATATGCATTCAATCATCTTCAAACAATGCTTAATGAAGTCGAATGTACGGCGCATCCCTCAGGGATTGATCAATGCCAAGAGCTTCATCCTTTATCCTTTATGTATCGGCATAAATAGAACGGCAAATATTGGTGCGGATGATAAAATACTACGAATAATAAGTACAATATAAATGTATAAAGAAAATACAAAAACAAATACCAAAAAAATACAATGGATAGGTTTAAATGGATTCTTGTAATCACCTCAGACACATTTGTAAGAACACCCAACAGACGGTTATGCGTCCCAAGACGCTCTTCCTCCGGAGTGTTTTCGATGCTGTAAGATAGCTGACAGTCGAATTAAGAATCAATAAAAGCATAAACAATGGGTGGAAAATACCTGTCCAGTATTGCCTTAACAAAAGGACGGCTATGAATGGGACCTATATAGATAGGACCAGCTTGGTGAACGGAGGAACCACAGTGTATACATTTGTTTTCAGCACCTGGTTATAAAAAACACATGAGGAAGTGAAACCATACTTTATAGAGGCATCTATGAGAATTATACAATTAGATTCTAAGAAAAGACGTTTTTGAAAGATTTGACGAAGTATTGAGAAGCCAAAAAACCACAACATACAAAAAAACCAGATAAAAAAACAAACATTAAGATCCGGATGGTGTAGTGGTGAAGTGCGCTGCTCCCCGGTAAGGACAACAGCGCGTGTTCGTTCCCCACTGCATACACCTGTGGTCCGGAGTTTTGCAAATATCTCAGCATTCCATACAAACATTAAGCCTTTCTAGAAACAGTATTGCGCTGCCCTTTCCTAACATTCATTATTTGGCATCACAGTGTGATTCAGTATAGAATCCAGGTTTCAGTGAGGTGTTAAGGTGCACCACCTTCTGTTTGTCAGGATATGTTCGATCTCCACATGCACTGTTCCGCTAAATGACTCTAATGTTCAACCGCGACTTTATTTTCCTCTGGAAAAATGAATCCCAAGGAAGACATATGGATAACAATCCTGCACGATGGTCTCCATCACCATTTCGATCTCCAATTCCGCATTTTTCTATCAAGTATCCATTTTCGTGGGCCATTCTTTACCTGACACTGAAGTCTTCAACTACAAATTTATGGGCTTCATCGTTGCGTATTACGTCCTCCAACTGGTTGGAGAACGTGTCCAGTTCCGTACCACCAGTTGTACAAGTTAGTGAACAACAGCTGATGCAATTGAGTTCCTTTTGACATGGAACATGAAGACGAAGACTGCCAAGCGTGGTCATGAGATTTCACATTACGTGACTAGATGGGAAAGATCGACATGATATTCGATTGGATGTGACAGTCCTTGTGGCTGCACTTAATATTCCAAAAAAAATTTTTTTAACGAAATCATTTGAATATCACCTCAGGTGATTAAAAAATAGGCATAATTCCAGGCAAGCGCCATATAAAACTAGACGTTTTCGCAAATACGTTAATGTCTTGTTTGAGCTAATAAAAGTACATATGAATCCGAAGGCTGAAAAATGACATTGGTTTTGGAACAATCAAATGCATTGACATACAAAGCAGCTTTTGCGCCAACAGAGTAAAGATGCAGTTTTTTCTCGCATGACCTTCAAATAATTCGTTGAATTCGAGCAACTAACCCATTAACGTCTGACGGACAACGCTCGCGCAAAATTTCAGACTTATTTCATCCTTTGCCTTTCTAAGAATGGGTGTAATCTCCATAGAGTGGCAACCAGAACAAACGAGAACATTTCCAACTTTCCTTAACAACCGTGAGAGAATAACAGTGTACATAAACAGAACAAAAAGTAATCTAAAATGTTAAATAACCGAAACCATATGAATACACAACTAATAATTTCAGGGCTCCCAATTTTATCAACCATATCATTTATAAAGCCCTTACGACGAAGTACCAAGAGGGTGCATCACGCCTCTACCCGCCACTACCGCGCGCCAGAGCTGCAAGGTTGGCCCTAGCTAAGTTTAGGTAGCCAAACTGTTTGTTTATGGTAACTGGGGGAAGGTTCTTGAGACGTTAAGATCTTACCCTGTTCCGACATGGCGTTATTATATTCTTCACCGACGAAATAGCCTGTCGGATTTCGAAAGAGAGAACCGTCGGCATATCCATCCTCCTTAACTTCATCTTAGGAATGAAGTAGCTACTGAGTAGATTTTTGGAAACTGAAACTGTTCTGTCTAGGCGTCGAAATGCACTCATTTCTTTCTGTTATTGGCGGTTAGCTTTCAGATGCTTTCTCCAGCCTCTGCAGTCTCCACCATAACTGCAGCTCATCTCACTTCAATATCTTCTTTCATAACCTGTCAGGATTGTTTTGCAAGTTCAGAAAAAAGTTGGCGGTTGCCTGCTGCTCGAGCGATTCCACAGTGGCGCACCTGCTCGAGTGTTTCTGGAGACAGAATTCTTTTGGTCACATTCGAACTTTCAGCTTTCACAGCGCTAACGTGAAGATGTTGAATGAGCCGATCGTATTCCTCGTCGATGTTATCCACAACGGTGTCTTCCCAACAGCCAACTAGTGACTTGAATAGGCCCAGTTGATAGTGGTTTTGGGACCTCGTTTTTTGTATTTAGCGGCTTTTTGTGTTTTCCGAGAGAAATCAAATCTTGCACGAAGGTCCAGTGTGGGAATTTGCGACAACAGCGACATCCGTTTGGCAAAACATATTTGCTATGATGTAGTCTATTCCGTTATGGAACTCTCCGTTGGGAGACTCCCACTTCTAACGTTGAGGATGGAGTTTCTGGAATTACGGGTTACCATGGATGCTCTTGGTCGCCATGATAAACTCACCCTTTTCGCTCTATTCTAATCCTTAGGTGCCAATGTGCCGTTCTTCAGACGTTCTTCTTGGTCCAATCTTACTGTTAAAATCTCCAATGGTGACCTTGAAGAATGTATGGTCTCCTTTTTAGAACTTCTCCAAGTCAATATAGAACGCTTCGACTTCTTCTTCGTCATAGTTTGATGTCGGCGCGTAAACGACGAAGACTATCAAAGCCGGAATTGATCCACATCTTTTTAACCGTAAACGGCCGATTCGGGTTGTAAGCTGTTCGAATGAATCGATGTTCATGGACAAACTCGCGTTGACGAGAACGCCGACACCGCCAACTGCTCTACTGTCGCATGTTCAGAGGAACAGTTCTTCTCTGGTGGTGATGTCCTACCTTATCCTTCTTGATTGCATGATCAAGTGCACTTTCGAGGACTCAGATGAAAGTGAGCGTGAACTGTAGGTATAGATCGTCACCTTAGTCCTTCGAGATTTTGGCCGTCTAGAATGGCCCTGTGATTCTAGTAGCCTGTCCGTACTTGTCCTACCTAACTTACCGCATCGGGGGTTCTTTCGGGGTCAACGAAATGTGACTCACTTATTTTACTGCTTGGGATCTGATACCCAAGTATGGCTCTCTGAGCTCTGAACATAAAGCTGGATATACTCACGGGTGGCTGGCCACCCTCTGCTAGATTAGACATGGGAAAATTCGTCGGAAGCAATTACTACCCGCCTCCTATATACCTTGCAGTCTCTTGATTGCATGGTTTTGGTCGAATTGGAACCTAGGATACAATTCGCTTAAGCGATAGTACACCCATTCATGTGTGCATGGAAAATATTCTGAAAGACAAAAACTGTGTGTTATGGATCCATCTGCACCTCAAAGAAGCACATGGCAGCTTTGATCCTCGATTAAACAAACCCCTATCCGACACCTGGAGACGCGCCACGTTGCCTCGTGACTAACCGGGATGACACTCTACCAAGGAGAACTGTGAAATCCTACTGCATACAAAATCTGGAAAATTATACACTTCAACACAAAACTTACGTTCCTGATTCTTTCGCCATTCGGGCCCCAGTGTGAACTCGGACAAACACACGTATGTAGAAGTCAACACTAATAGATAACAGTGGTTCAACATAACGACTATATCGATTGGCATGAGAATCGATGGATCGAAGGAGAATCCGAAGCGCCTTAAAAAGGAACGTTCAGACAGATTACGATTACTTTCTTTTTCAAAAACCTGAAAAAAGTAGAAGGAAATATATAACATTAACAGTGAGGTACTTCAATGGAATAGCATCAAAAGGCAAATTGCGCGACATTCCAGATTCACAACAATACTGTTTGGAGAGATTTGCAACCACAACACAAGTTAAATTAAAATCTTTTCATATAATTCTGACCACTAAAACATACATTACGCCAAACACCGCACGAACCACGGATCTCTCTTACAGAGGCCTGTCGGTTACCAGTGAGACCATGAGGATCCTCTCTACGTTGTGGTTTTTGTATCTATGCTATTTATGGATAGCATGCAGCCTTTATGAGCTTCAAGATCGACTCCGCTATCAGGACAAACAGGAAACATCAAATAGAGATAAAAATCAAGCGACACTACCACCATCTCTTTCCCAAAACCGTTCTTTAGACAGCAGGACCCTAACGATGGAGTTGACATAAAATTCCGCTTGTTTTCGGACGGCACTCTCAAGACCCTCAATCACTACCGCGATAGAAAGTTTATCTCAAACCTTACAGCCGCACAAAAATGTGGCATGCGAGAAATTAGAGAATTAATATACTCGAAAACAATAAGATTGTCTGTTAGTGATAAGAGAAGAGACTTCGTAGTTATTCCTAGCCAGCTGGATGTTGAGATAACAGAGGAACATCTTAGTGATGCTACCCTTCATCGCCCATCTGAAAAAGAATGTAAAAGTCAATACCGAAAGCTAGACAATTAATAGTCCAGTGTGGCAAAGGCTGCGGGTTTAAAATCATCGGTTATTTCGCACTTTAAAGTCGATAAACCAACATGTCCCGACATATACCTACTTATTAAAACACATAAGTTGGTATCACCTGATGATCATTCGTCAACCAATCCACCATCATTTAAGGTTAGACCGATCATCAACTGTGCAGACGAGTCAACAGATAGAATAACCCGGTTTTTAAGCCTCATACTTACTCAGCTGCTTAACCACATTCCAGCTCACCTCACAAACACCGAAATGTTCCTAGAACGTCTACGCAACGCGTCTCCTAATAACGCGTACGTGATGGAGACTTTCGACGTTACCGCGCTGTACACCAACGTATCGAATGACTCCGCAATGCAAGCCATCTTCGAAGTACTTGTTGAACATGAAGGAAGAATAAATATGGATGGCTTGTCCATCCAGCAGCTAATGGCTCTCTTAAAGCAGTGCGTAAACTGCTCAATTTCAGATGATCTGGGAAATATTTCGCGCAAATAAGGGGGTGGCAATGGGACAGCGACTGGCACCAAGCCTTGTCATTGTGTTTATGTCTAAGATAGAAGCCCCTGCTCTCGATTTCCGGCCACTACTCTACAGCAGATATGTAGATGATTCTTGTGTCGTCTTCTCTACTCAGGAGGAGATGGACAAATGTTTTGAATTATTGAACTAGCAGTCTGAGTACATGAAGTTCACCCGGGAGAAACCAAGAATGGTCCGGAGAGTACTACGCTCAAATAAGAGTGTTGGCAATGGGAAACCGACTAGTACCAAATCTTGCCATTGCGTTTATGTCTAAGGTGGAGGCACCGGTGACCGATCTCAGGCCGCTACTCTACTGTAGATATATAGATAACAGCTTTGTCCTTTGCTTAACACAAAAGGGAATGGGCAAATGTTTTGAGTTGTTGAATGAACAGTCAGAGTATATCATGTTCGCCCGAGAGAAACCGAAAGAAAAATGGCTTCCATTCCTGAACGTCTAAATTAACCTATCAGAAAATGGCTACATTACGAAGTGGCACCGAAAGCCAAGTAGTAAAAACATCCTGGTACATTACCTCTCTTCTCATCCCTATCACAAGAAAAGGGCGCTTATAAGAAACATATTTTGAACAGCAACCAACGTGTGCACAGGAAGAGAGCAGAGAGAGGAGTCCCGGAACTTGGCACGGCAAATAGCCATTTCCAATGGCTACGAAACTGTAGCTCCGGATTGGTGTAGGGGAAATCGGAGTCCCCCAAACGACAATTCTAGCGACAAGAAGATCCCGTTTATCCTACCCTTTAACTCAAATGATGTTAGTGCAGCTATAAAACGCTGCTTAAGAAGGGCGGGTCTAGAGAATTCGGTAAACGTAGTTGAAATGCCACCGAGTAATCTTAGGCGCCAGCTAGTTTGTAACCGACTATATGACCGTCTATGTGCAACGCAAAATTGCATAATTTGCCCCAATGGTAAAGACGGTGATTGCATGAGCTCGGGTATAGTTTATCTGATCTCCTGTAAGGCGAGCGAAGACGAATACATTGGGGAAAAGAGCAGACCCCTGTGTCCGCATAGAAGAACAGCTAGCCGGAAAACATAAACAAATACCCTGCTAGGCACGCATAGGACCCAGAGACATAACGGGAGGACTTTGAAGTACGTGCACGATCCTCGCGCAGGAATCAAGAACACAAACACGCAAAACTCTCTGGGCGTTCTGGTTTAATTCCAGAAATCCGAAAATGAACCGCAGGAAGGAATGCCTCATTATCGCGCGTGATATTGGTCAGTATATAAACATGTTATTCTGATGGGAGGAGCACATTACGCTTCTATGTGAATTCTGTGCGGTTGGTCTTCACAGGACATACTCAGTGGAAGACTCATAGAAAGCGGTGAGTGTGCAGGGCTGTGTTCAATGTGATTGAAATCTTGGTTTATCGTTTTCTCTGCTTGGTTATGAAGGTGTTTGGCCGAATAGGTTGCTGTCAACCTGACCTTTCCAGGCTCTGAGGAAGGCGAAATCCGCCGAAACGTCAGCTTGTACGTAAATAAAGGAATAAAATAGCACCTCGTGTTTGCTGAACCGAAGTGGAAAGAATTGTTCATTCACTACCGAGGTTAACAGAAAGTCGGACGTAGGAGTTACAACAAATTGCGTAACGGCAGGGACGGTGATTGCATGAGTTGAGGTGCGATATACTTGATCTCTTGTAATAATTGCGGAGATGAATATATTGGCGAAACGGGTAGACCTTTCTGTATCCGTATAAAAGAATACCTAGATGGCAAACGAAAGCTAGGACGAAGTAGCCCACTAGGCACGCATAGGATACAAAAGCATAGCGGAGACGATTTTGAAGTAAAAGTCAATATTCTTGCACAGGAGTCCAAAACACCAGCGCGAAAACTCCTTGAGGCTTTTTGGATAAATGCCAAATAATCCTACCTGACCCCGTATGTTCGCATCAATTTCTGATGTGGGATGGTGCAGCCATCAACCACATGCGACTATAATCAGCTGTTCTAAACTTCCTCAATGGAAGTCACGTAAAAAGCGGTGAGTTTTTCGAGAAGCTGTTGATCATGTAATTACCAAAGAGTGTTTCGTCTTTTTGTAAGTGTTATTGAAGCGTTTCTCCTAGTAAATTGTATATCATTATACCCCTCAAGGCTCTGAAGAAGGCGATACTGCCGAAACGTCAGCTAGTGTTGTATTGTATTGTTTCTCTATGGAAGTTTTTTTATGGAAGTAAATGTATGCTGCTTAAAAACCTCGCGATTGCTGAACAAGAAAACGACGCATTCATATTCTAATGCCGAGGTCAATAGAAAGTCGATCATGGGAAGATGCTAATACCTCACGGCTATTCCAGGCTGCCTAAATCGCAAAGGACTAAAGTAACGACCTGTACCTATAATGTACGCTCATAAAAATTTCAGTCTTCGATAGAGGACTTGACCGTGCGCGCAAGAACGATAAGGTACGAAGTCATTGGACTCGCCGAGATGAGAAGTATTCAACGCCATCTATGACAGCGAAGAAGAACTGTACTTCAGAACATGCGACAGTGGAGGAGTCTGCGCCGGCGCCGCTCTCGTGCACACGACTTTGCCATGAACATCGATTCATTCAAACAATTAAGAATACGAATTGGACGTTCATGGTTGAAAAGATGTGGATCAATACCGGCTTTAAAACTCTTCGTCGTTTATGTACCGGTATCAAGCTATGACAAAGACGATGTCGAAGCGATCTACACAGACTTGGAGGAGTTCTACAGAGTAGACCATATATTTTTCGAAGACATCACTGGAGATTTAAACTTAAACTGGACCAAGAAGAAGGTCTAAAAAACGTCACATTGGGACCCACGATGGCGAATATGATGGAAGGAGCAAGGCGAGCTGGCGTCTGAGTTTACCATGACAACCAAAACCATTCACGGCAACTAAAATCCCGCTCTGAAAGCTGGACGTGGGAGCGTCCCAATGAAGAGTACCATAACGAAATAGATCACCTCAAAATATATCGGATGTTTTGCCCAATTTGCGTCGCTACTGTCCTAAAACGCCACACGAGATCAGACAATCGCCGCCTTCGCATAAAAGTCGCCAAGTATGAAAAACCAAATCCCAAAACCACCATAAACTGGAATTAATTCAAACCAACAGTCTGCTCTTGGGAATATGCAGCTATTGATAATATAGATAAGGAATACGATCGGCTTATTCAACATCTACACGTTAGAGCTATAAAAACTGAGAGTTCGAAAGTCACAAAGAGACTTCTATGTCCAAAAACACTCGATCTGATAAGCCAACGTAGAATCCCACGAGCTACAGGCAACCATCAACTCACGCCCGGCACTTGCAAAACTGCAGACAGCCGATAAAAGAATATCTTAAAAAAAGAAGAGCAGCATTTTGATTGAAGCTGTAGAGGCTGGAAAGAGCATTCGCAAAGCCCACCGAAGCTTCACCAATTACGAAATCAAGATTATAGCACTCCAACGTCCAAACGGAACAGTTATAGCGTCCAGAAAGGCATTGGAGAAAACCATTCACAATTACTACTCAGATCTGTTCAAGAGAAATGACACAGGTGGTCGCGCTTAAATGTAATTGCTTATAGTTAAGTTATTCAAAAAACAAAACTTTGCAACGAGTACCAAAAATAAAGACGAAAATCGAAATAATCACCAGTTCGTGGCAACACTTCATCCGAACAGTTGTCGAGCCATATTTGTTGTAACACGTTTCAGGTGTATTACCACACAAAACAGCCATATCAGTGCAGGTAACCATTAGAATTCCTGAAATAAAGGTTATCATCGAACATGCTTTCGAAAATAATAGCGCAAAGAACCACAGATTAAGTGAAAGAGTACTCAGTGTGTACTACAAAACAAGGGATATGAAATCATAGTCGCTGACCCTATCATCCCCTAGCCAAAAACTGGGCTTTTAAAATTTCCGTATTTGCTCAAAAAGAACAGACGTCATACCGTAATTTTCGTTATATCGAGACAATGCTCCTACATCTTCGGAAAGCTTTGTGGCAGACCCAAAAACAATGACAAGTTTAAAAGTCTTGGATAATAGCCAACCGTTCTCTGCTACACATTGCACAGCCGAATCCAAGAATATGGAAGCTGATCCGTATGGATCCAGATCGACAGCATGGAAGCGTTTATTTATGCTTCGATGGTTCATCATCGTCTCACTTAAGAAGGCCTGATAGGAATAATAAGTGAATGCTCCACAAAATACAATGAACAAGCGATAAACCTACATGGCATCACCGAAGTTCGCAATCACTTTGTTTTCGAGTCCATTCAGAACGATGTGGTCCTTAATTATCTGCACAGCGTTCTCAGAGAAATCATTAGCCAACACAAAATCTACGTGTTCAACCTAAAACTCTCAGATTAATGCTATACAAGATGTACATATCCTGTCATTACCGCGATATGTTTGCATACATGCATACATTACTAAATACGCATATAAATACATGTGTACATACTTGCTTAGGTACTTGGATGGCGCGTCTTCGCTCACTGGTTGTGCGGGCCCCAGCGTAATTTCCATTTCTTCGGAGTTTTGCTGGCCTAGCCATTGTGGTTCTCTGGGGTCCCGAGATCAGTCTGGCCAGCCTGCCTTACGTCGTCGCCACCACAAGCAGTCGTTGCCCTTGTGGATCAGTGGGAGATTTACCACCAAGCGACTAGTTTGACACCAAAACGGTGGCAAATTCTAGTATTTGCATACTCCTTCAAGGGCTTCCTGATGGAAACTAGCTTTAAGACCCTGCCAGAGGGATGAATCCCACCGCTGTACATGGCAGCCCGACACTCAGGAACACCCAGCCACGATGAGGCAGTAAACCGTTAGAAGATCTTTATGTATACATAAATGTAAAAAAGTATACGTACGTACTGCATAAATTTATATACTCAGATTATCTAAAAAAAAAAATACGAATCTATACACCTCTTGGGCGAAACGCAATGCTCGCAATCCAGTGGCAGATAGGGCATCCAGAATTCTAACCGAATCACCCTTTAAAACTATTTTTAGATTGTGAACCATCACACACTTGCAAACAATAAGCTAACCTTCTCCTCCATCAATTTTACCTTCTTGTTTTTCGGTTCCTCAGAATCTGTTTCAACACTAACTCCGTTCCTGTGACACTTCACGAACTCTCGCAAGATAGACACACTAAAAATCGAACCAACATCGACATCATCAGACAAAATGTACAAGAATACGTTGGATAAAACGGAGAAAACAATCGTACGTCAAGTCTCTGTTGAATTCTTGAACAGGATTGTAGAAAACCGGTTTGTCAAGTCGTAATTTGGCCTTGCCTTCTTGAAGAATCATCGGCTCAGTGGATGAACTTCCTGATGACTCCGTTCTTGGGAACTCTCCCATTCTTCCCAATGCCCGTGCGCGAGCCTGGAAATCTACGGAATTAGCCCTGCACATCTCACTAAATATTCTTTTGAAATGAACCTACACGATTCAGCAACACTCGAACGCCGCTAGTTACCAGTTTGCGAATATTTTAGGAATATTGTGCTTTGCAGTAGTCGTAGTGCACACAAACTACGTCTTCCAGACGTCGTATTTATACCCATTCAAATTTTTGATATCAAATTCCTGTCTATTTCCTCAGTTATTCTGGAAGTTTGTAGTAGAGCTTTGTAGTGAATAGTATAGTTCGAAAAATATTCAAAGGTAAGAGGTTCTAAGAAGGCAACGCAAGGAATAAAGACTTTGTGTAGAGATTTTCTGTTATATTTCTGATAAAGAGATTTTCTGTTATATTTCTGATAAAAACATTTGTAGGCTTTTGGCTTCTTTCATTAATGCGTAATCCTCATGAGAAAGTTACGCCAGAAACAAGTGGTGATGAAAACGGAAATAGTGGGACAACTAGCGGGTCAGAGGTAGGTTTAGTGTACCCCACATATCCAGTTTGGTTTTTCAGGTTTCCTGAAGTCATTTAGATTAGGTCTAGTTTAAGTTAAGTTAAACTAAGTTTTCCGCATTATGAATTTTAGGTGTCCATAGAAGAAGAAGGAGATGAAAACAATCGTCTCTTAGAGAGCAGTGATGAGAGCTGCGAAGAGGAGTCGGAGTCATCTGGTTAGTGTCTTTTGGATGTTGGATACTTGGATGGCTTGTCTTCACTGTTTATGCAGGTCCTAGCATAATTTCTGTTTTTTTTCGAGTTTTGGTGGTTTGGAAATTGTGGTTCACTGAAGTCCCGAGGTCAATCTATCCAAAGTGCTCCAAGTCGTCATCACCACAGACAATCGCCGCCTTTGTGGATAAGAGGAAGATTTGCCACCATGCGACTAGTTTGATAACAGGACGGTGGTGGATGCTAGTGATGGTTAACTTTTAGCTGGGCTTCCTGATAGAAATGCCGGACTCCTCAGCTTGGGAGCCTTTGCTGAGGGATGAATCCCCCGCTCTACATCGCAGCTCGACACCCAGGAAAATTTCCCAACCACGATGAGGCGGTAAACCGTTCAGAGGTTTTTGGATGTTTTTTGGATGTTAATCCCTTATTATACTGGGCCGATAACTTTTTTAATTTCATCAGATTGTTGTGATAATTTGTTCTAGAGGTCGACAGGAGTTCTGAAAGCCTGTCATCCGAAAGCGAAGAGGAGAGCAGTAGTGGTGATAGCGAGTCCTCCGATTCTTTGTGGGAAGCTTTTGATGACGGTGACAAAAAACAGACGCAAGAAGCAAGTGTGAGTTGTTTCAGGGTTTGTTCTAGTACCTTGGTGTTGACGTATTGACAAGGTTTCAATTGGAAAATACGAGGGGTTAAAAACGGGTGGGAGGTCGAACCAGTAGTAGTTGTGAGGGCTTGTTTGACAAACCGCTTAGCATTTGCTGACGTTCATTGTAGGGATTAACTCTGAAAGGTTACGGGAGTAAGGGAAAACAGTCAATTTTGTTGTCAGTGCATTTTATTACCGCTTGTTTTTTTTTTTCAGGAAGCCTCGGCTCTTATTGAGTTTCAAAGAGCCCTGGACTATATAGTGAAAGGCAAGAACACAGTCGCCGTGAAAATACTGAAACAGCTTCTCGACAATCCTTTAGTAAAGGGATTCACTACCGCTGTTTTTGACTGGGAAATCGAAGTTGACGAAAGGTTTCCCACTTCTTTTCTTCAAGTATTGGTCTGCTTTATAACTGCTGACACTCAGATTGTCCAAAATGGCACGGCTTTTTGTCGGTATTCACAAAAATCTTGCGAAGTTGGAGGAAGGGAATTCATCCCACCATTTCTTACAGGTATTTTGTTGCAGCTAGTATTCTATGGTCCAGTACAACTTCCATGTGAATCTCCTTCATAGATTTACCACTTATTAGTTCTTCTATATTGATAACCCAAGTTTAGATATTGTCAGTTGCTCCGAAGAATGCTGAGATCTGGTTGAATCTCGGTGTGGAAAGTATTGCAAGTGGCGATGTGGACTTTGCCAAATTTGCGTTTCAGCACGCAGAAGGACCTAATGCTACAGATGCTTTGCTTAGCGCCTTATACTTGTCGCGAAATTATCACGGTGGGTAGTCTTCGTAACGAAATCTCGATGAGACTATATGAAGTGACGTGGTACTATCTTATACACAGCTATTGCTTAACCATGGACTTGTTAGCGAAGACATTTTGCCCTTCAAAGCCATTCATTTGATTGACTTACCTACAAACTAGAATGGCACTTAACCATATTATAACCCTTGACCTGTTTAAAAGTCTTACATTTAACATGTTTTATATTGCTGAACGTGCACGGGGTTGATAAATAGCTTTTATTCGGCTAACGTTTCGATTCGTGCAGTGTTCCACTGAAGAGATCCGTCTCGGTGCGACTACAAAAACGCTACATCGAGAAGACAAACAACTATGGGCCATCGACTCGAATCATCGCCTCTAATGAAGACTAAGACGTCAAGACATTAGTCGAGTAAAAGTTGTTTATCAACTTCGTTAAACCGAACAATTTAAAACATGTTATTTTACTATCGAGATCAAGTGACCTTTGGAAATTTGTGTCTCGGAATCTCTATGTGCGTTCCGTTTCGTTCTAATGAAATTAGTTGTTGAAGTAGAAATTTATTAATTTTGTAAACATTTTTTGAAGGCGTTCTAGAAGTCCGTATATAGTCGTTCAGCTTGTTTGCGACTGGCTCAAAAATGCCTGAGTATGGGTGTCTGCCAAGAGAAGGCGCTGTTCCTCAAGGAGCGAATCCGTTCCATCAATGACCATTACAGGTATTTCTTGTAGTAAATGGTTTGTATATGCAGGTACTGGTGAAACTTCGTACAGAAAAGTTTTGAGAATTTTTTAATGGCTGCATATCGCTGTATTTCTTTTCGTTCATGGGCGATAGTGCCAGTTTTGCACTGGCCGAGGGGCTTAGCTGCCTTCTATCACACGGACTATATTTGTTGCCACAATGTTAATGTAAAATAGGAAAGTTTCAGTGAATTCTGTGACAACATCTTTGCAGAAAATAGACGATATGATCAAGTTGAGACATTGGACGAAAGTGTCTCGAAGGAGGTCCTGCAACAATTACCATTCTTTTGCTGTTCTCCTGAACCATCTTTTTTTTTTACAGATGGCTCGAAGATTGTCGATTGTGGAGCAGCGCCTTAATTCGATTCCAATTAAAGAGGAAGTGCCTTCACCAAGTCCAATTGATATCACATTCGATGCTGAACAGAGGCGCGTTTTTAATGGGATGATTTTAAATTTTTTCGTGAAGCTTTTGATTATTTATTAGAACGAGAATTACTCTAGTGTTGCAGTGCTTTAGAAGTTGCTACAGCCTTCTGTGACCTATTTGACCGCATCGAAGCATATTCCAACGTAAGGTCGTTTCTTTTTTCACTTGACCGCCTGCGATGTACAACTCTTCAGCTTGCCCTACAAGAAATTACATTTTCTCGTTGGGATGATAGAAGAGACTTAGTCGATGTGACTTCGGTGCTTGAGGAAGTTCTCGCTGTCGTAGAAGCAGTCGATTTTATTCTACGAAAGGTAGTTTTACATAAGGACGTCATCAGTTGCTGGGCATTTAGTTACACTGGAAGTCTAGGTTTCTTCAAATAGTGCTAAGATACGCGATCGCTGTGATAACTCGTCTTCTGCTGCCCATCTGGGAACAAATGATAGTTTCCTAAGACGATCTATGCGTTATGCTATGGAAATCCCCTTTGAGGAAGATGATTCGCCTTATCAATCAGATAACGCAACACCATCCCAGTGTAATGGATTTGCATCGTCTGTCAAGGTATTGTTTAGAATGATTTGAAGATCTTTCCAGGCTGAGTATATAATTTCTATCTTGTTTCAGTTAGCTGAGTCTCTCGGATTTTATCCCAAAAATGTAGTGCCCTTAAAGAGCGAATTGGTGACAAAACCAATGCGAACACCAAGTCCAGAGATGTCTCGTAAATACTTTGATGCCGATGTGTTGCTCTTTTTGTTGATGACAACTTTAAGGGGAAGAAATTGGACCATGTATCAACTGCTAGGTATGAGTTCTAATCTATGTAGGTGACATAATTCTGAAGATTTCCTCTTCTCGTCCTGAACTTCGCTTGCAGAGCTGTTCCTTTGCTTAATTGCTGATATGTCTCCTGCTTTCGGAGCGATTCCACCATGTCTGCAAGAGGTTGTTGTTCAATGTTACCGCAGATTTAATAGACTTTCAAGTAATCTTTGCGATGAGAAGTACATCCGTCTTCATGTTTTAATGGATGAGCTTGGTATGATGTCTTATCAGAAATTTTTCTTTACATGTTTTAGTCTTCAACTTTCGGAAGAGTAAATGGAGAGTTTTTATAGACTTTGAGAGTTGTAGGAGAACCACATGGACGAGATTATTGCATTCGTTGGAACTGTACCGAAAAGTGGTTGGATAGGGAACTACTGATTCGATTCATATTGAGTCATAGTAGAGCTATTACAGATGAGAGCATAAGGTTCGATATTCAGTTGGAATTTCTTTTGTTCTTTGTTCATTATATTGCTCCATTAGCATGTTGTGGCGCGTGTTGCACAGTGGTTGGAGGCACCCTACAATAGATCGATCCCTCCGTGGCTTACCGAGCCTTCAACCACTCCGGAGTTGGCAAATTGGCACCAGGCTTGTCTGGGACGATAGCAGCACTGGCTCGATGCATCGGTGTCAGATATGTATTCAATTGCCTCCAACGATGTTTAATAATGATGTCAAATCCATGGCATATCCCTCAAAGATTGATCAACGCCGAGCTTTATCCTTTTTTCATCCTTTTAGTACGTGATGATATGACTCTACTTGTTCAGGCTTTCTTTCCTACGTTATCTGTACAGCTTGCTCGACGATGGCGAATTTGTATTCACTGCCACGGGTGAGCGGTTGTCCTTGCAAGGAGAATTTCGTTGTTGTTACTGCAAAATGCATCGTTTTTCACTAGGATGGACGGGGAAAGACGAGGTTCTCGCTTTCATTGATCGCATTGAAAGAAGCAATAGAATAGTTTCTATTTCACAGCTAAGGAGCCGTTGCAGATATGAGGAGGTATGTTTTCCTCTTGTGTTTGTATGGACATATCGCTACATATATATATACATATATATATATATATATATGCATATTATATATATATATGTGTAAATATATGTATACGCTTATGTATATATATATGTATATGTATATGCATATATACATATACATTTCTACAGTTTCACTCTTCCCAAAGCTATAACTTCAGGTAATCTCCATAATTACTCGTGACGTTGATTTTAATACTTTGGAAGGTGATGATTTGTTTGAAATGATCGACTATTTGTTGGAGGCTTACTATAAAGTCAAAAAATACGACGAAGCTATGAATTTCCTGTCAAGGTAGTTGTCATGAAGTTTCAGTAATGTCAACAGCACTCAAATTGAGCATTCTATGACACCTGACATAGAAGGAATATTCGGGAATGTTAATTTCTTTGAACGTGTATCTGATATCGTAAGAAAATCGCTTGCTTCTAAACATTGTTGATCATATAAACTTCGTTCTTGGTGCATGTGATGTGGATAGTCTTTCGTTCTAACTGGCTGTTTCTGGTTATTCTTAGAACAATGTGAGCATCGAAGTGAAGGTGGTGTGGTCGGCGATCAGCTCCTATATCAATGTTCTATCCCATTTCTCCCCGACGTCGAAATTGACTGTGATTGATTTTGGCAGTATAGTGTTGCATTGTCGAGTCTCTCTATGTGTTGAAAACAGTATGGAATACGACCTGTTGTGAATGATCCTTAAGTACTAGCACCCTGGCTGTCTGGAGTATAAGTAGTCACTTTTTTCTCAGCTGAGTCGAAGACTGTCCGCAACTGATGAAATTGGGACAGATGGACATCTTGTATTCACTTGATACTTAGACGAGTTTGTGGGGATCCTGTTAAGATCCTATTAACATTATAGAGTGTTGATTGATTCTTCACCGACGAGACAGCATATAATCATTCGGGAGAGAAAATCGCGAGGGCGACATATCCGTATTTCACGTCTTCATTTGGAGGCAGATGGATATTGTTGTGGAAGGGATCTGAATAAAAGTTTTAGAAGACTTTCGAAATTGGTCTTCTGAATGTTTTGACTATTCCGTCTAGAAATCGGAGGACAACCAGACTTTCAGCTTGCTATTTCCTTGCGTCTGCTACGCACTCATGTTCTCTCTAACCTGCGCAGCATTTGGAGACAGTTTTCTATTGTTGGATTAAAAAAAGACTTTTATCAATGTAGTGAAGGTATTAGGTGAGTCGATCGTATTTCTCATCGGTGTTCTCGGAACAGGATTATTTCAAAAGCTGACAAAAAAGCATTGTTCTCGGGTTTCTGTTCATTAATTTTCGCTACCTTCTCTAAAAAGCATTTCTTCTCAAAGAAGCGATTTCACTTTCCTGTGTGAATGACAGTGTCGTCGAATATCCTCTAATGTACTTTCGGACGTCCAACGTTGAGAACGTGGGTGTTCAAGTTTTTTTTTTTCGTGATCAAACTCAGCTGAAGAGTGGATCAGCGCAATCGACTCTTCTACCATCACATGTTCCGAGATACAGTTTTCTGCTGCCATAAACGAGAGATCCTCGATACCAAGAGCGGCGTCCGATATGCAGCCTCTTTTCGACTAGGCGAATCTGACGACGTCCTATAACCTTTTTATTCATCCTATAATATAACCTTTCTAGCATTTACCAAAGGATCTCCAATATATTCAGGTGATAGCATGCTTTCATTATAAATACAGGATTCCTCCATAGTCTTTCCTAGTTTACGAAGTCTATACTGATCATGCGATTCCACCGCCTTCTTGGTGTTTGCCTGTTCCACTGTAGATGGTTCGGTCTCTCTTTCTGGATTATGTGTGAGCTCGTTTGTTCTCGCTTTCTTTAGAAATTAATCTCTGTGTTTGAGTTTTAGAGCCTTCCTAATGGATACAAATATCTTAATCGTTGAAGCTGACTGGGGTACAGTGACATCAGTCGCTTCATTTCAGTAGTTTTGTACTCTAAGTGTCTAAGTTTAGAGATACTATTAACGTATTCGTAGCAGAACATGTGCGCATGTGCCCGCATGTGATTGGGAATACGCGTAATCTGAACGTATATTTGGTGCAACAGAGACAAGAAGTTCTTCGCTACATGGTGTCAGGGTTTGTACGAGGTCTCCCTTATCTAATCTCGTCTTTCACCTAGGCTGGTATTCCTCAATTTGAGAGGGCCGTGGATTACGTAAATTAAGCATTAAACGCCTGTCAACTGTACCATATTTAAAAAGCTTTCCTTTAACCTCGGTTTGAGTAATCAACATGTATTCTTTCTTTGATAAGTTTACACGAGGTTGATTTACAATCTTTATCAGGCTAACTTTTGGACGGTTTCGTCTTCAGCAGAGGCGGCGATCGGAGTCGATGATCCGGCTCTGATGAAGGCGAAGCCATCGAAGCGTTTGCCGAATAAAAATTATATATAAACTTAGTGTAAGCTTATCAAAGAAAGGATACTTATGTATCATATTTAGTGCGTTTAATAAGCAGCAACTCAAGGAGACATCAGCAAACCCCATGCTTTCTCGTAGTACACAAGAGTTGCTAATTTTATTAATTTTAGAGTACTTCTTTACTTGATTTCGTTGAAACCACTCAATCGCTCACAAGTCTCATCGCTCGTACGCGGCATAAGAGTCGTTGATTGGAGCGAAGTGACAAAAGAGAATTATGAGGAAGTTGGGTATTTTCTTTGTCAACTAACTGATATAGATGACTTCGCCTCAGATTGGCTTGTTTGGAAAGAGCTCTTCAGGATTGTTCAAAACAACGGCGGTTCGTATTCCATCTATTTTCTTGTAAAGATTTTCAACAGAAGTGCAGGTAGTCACTTCGAAATGTATTAGGAGATGCTTCGGAGAACTACATACTATCACTGGATCCCATGAAACAATACGAATGTATGCCAAGCTTGGCTCTCGATGTCCTTGTGAAAGCACATGAGAAGCTTGGTAAGGCGAAAAAGTGTGGTGATAACGAGGTATTCCAGTCAAATTTTGAATTCTTCTATCAGTATTTAAGTCAACTTGTATGCTTTGTTTTGAACATCAGCATTTGTAGGGTGAGTTCCTGCTATTCTTCATGAAACAGTTGCATATATGTATATCTAACGAAAAACTCATGAAACTGTTACAAACGGATGGATTTTTGTGGTTGTGGTCAAATGTCTCTGAGGAAATATCGCAGTGTCTCCATTGTGTGTTTGGGTAAGTGTTTCAAGAAAAAAACAGTTGATTTTAAACATAATTTGTACGAGGCGATGAAAATAATCGAATGAAATTGTTTCTCATAGACGTTATTCTAAGCGCCGTCGTGTGTTGGAAGATCATGAATGTTCTGTGAATCACAGCGTTCTAAATGACTATTCAGTGATGATCCTAGAACTCGCCATGCCCCATCCTTTGCCTAAGTATGACGATAAGGTTAGTTTGTCTGCGCTCTTAGAGGTGCTTAATTGCATAAGGGCGCGTGTGGCGTAGTGGTCGGAGGCGCTCTGAAGTACACATGGGATCTATCCCAGCGCCTCAGGCCCACCCAGCCCTCCATCCCTCCGATTTGGCAAATTGGTACCAGACTTATTTGGGAGGAAAGCTCCACTGGCTCGATGCATCGGTGGGCCACCGCGATTCATGATAAAAGCCGGATATGCATTCAGTTACCTCAAACGATTCTTATTGGAGTCGAATGCATAGCGCATCGCTCTGGGAGACATTTATAGAGACAGAGAGGGAGAGAGATTTAGACATTAAGAGATTAGAGAGATTAGATGAATGAGAGAAATCTAGAGATTTCTACATGTTTAGGAACGTTTTGGTCATGATGTTGTCAATCTACTGCTGAATAAATTCCCATCTATGTTACAGTATTCGAACGCTCGAAAAGATGTTATACGCAAGTTTAATGTTTGGATGCGTGACGTTGCAAAGAATGAAGGGAAAAATCGGTGTCTTCATCTTTTCATTTAACGTTGTCACTTTTCTTTCTTAATAATATAATCTCTAGTTTATTTCGTGTGTGTAATATTTCAAGGCGGACAAGCTAGGACTTCTGAAAAACTGCTCAGTGTTATTGAGAAACGAGCCAACTGAGGGTCTCACCACTTTATCAACACTGCGTTGGGAATCATCTTGCGTAGATTTGAATTGTTAAAACAAAGTAACCTTTGGCTTATGAAGGAACAAGAAAATGGAGCTTTCTCTTTTTCATTGCTATGATCTTCATAAAGTTTCAGCATTGTCATCGTTTTCAGTTTAAAGTGGCCTATGGTAAATAATGAGTCTTACGTTCAATCTTGTGTTTGGTATCTCATGGCTCTACACCATTACCGCCAAAGCAATCATAATGAGATTGAGATTTATTCCAAGGTAGATGTAAATTTTTGTCCCTGATAATTCGGTTTTCCTCATCCATTCATCTTCAGCTATTCCTTACCAGTGGCTATGCAACGCTGAAAAGCCGCGTTACTGCTGGAGCTTGGGCCGTTTTGGCTTATACTTCTGTTTTTCACTTGTTCCAGGTATCTCATATAACATTCGTTATTCACTGTTTGTAGTATAAGTTTCACTTGCGGGAATCCATTTTCTAGTCTTTTGTGGGCTGGAATTCTTTTCCTTATAATTTTCACATGCTTCTTGGTGTAATCATTTTATTTCAACTATTTGAAACATACGCAACAATACGCATGGGTTTTACTTCGCGCTTACTCGAGAACAGTTTCGTTGTGACTCGAATTTTCAAAACTAAGAAGTTTGAATAGGGAGAATATCAAACATCAGGACTATGATTTCTGCGTCTTTCCTTAATATTTGAAGTTGCTGCGCTTGTAATGAATTCATTTGGGACATGAATTCCATGTGCTTTCTTTTGAAACTTCGAATTTTAAAGCAGTTCAAGTCTGTAGGGATACGTCTCTTCGTCTGGAAATTCCTCATATTCGCATATTCTCCTAGTATGCTAGCTAATCCAAGGTTGTTTTCGGTTTTCTGGACGCATGAATCATAGTAATCTTCTAATTGTTTACGGTTTTTTGTTAATGTTTTAGTATTGTGCACTATCGGGCTTTTTACCTTTCTACCTTTTTCCACCTTTCTACCTGTTGCCTTTTTACCTTACCTTTACCTTTTACCTTTATTTAAGATGGACGACGATTTACTGTATTTGGAGTGGCCATGGCATGTAATACCGTTCCGAGTCTCTATTTTAGTAGACAGCACTGTTGGAGTCGTTTTCTTCCAGCTTGCTAACACTCTTTATCAAATAGCAACTCGACTTTCGCGTTACTTTCTTACGGTTGGTATTACGACGATACTAAACTACCTATATATCTGTATAAACTATAAACAACTTTTGATACTAAAATTGTTAAGCACTTCAAAGTTATATGTCGTTAGGTACCCTCCGATGATTGGAGACTGCGTTATTCAACATCTGTCCTCAGAAATCTCCGACAGGAATCACAAAGTCTTTTTGAAGAAGCGCTATCTCAAGTATAGCATTTTTCATTTATTCTACCATTTCCACTCTATGCGGTGATCCTACAATGGCGGATATGAGGTTCCTAGTAAGTATCGCAAATGTCTGCATTTTAGGCATTTCACTGGGAAACTGGTGGTATCTGTGAGTACCAATGGTTGTGTTATTTCTTTTTGGCAAAGTTACAGACGAAATTAGATGAAGACGAGGTTGTTAGGGTGAGATGTTTATCAAATATATTAGCATTGGAGCTCAGATTTCCTAACTTAATGATATCCCTGGACTTCCTGTTTTGGGTGTTGCTTCTATCACTATATTTTTAGGCTGTAGATGGATTCTACGAGGCTGCATGTTCATGCGAATTGTCTGAGTTCTTTTATCCCATCAAAATTAGTGTGAAGAAACAGCAAAATATCGAGCCTGTTGAGGTTCATTACCAGATTCATGCTACCGTTTGGAAATATCTTCGAAAGAAGTAGGACGTAGAATTTTATCCATATACTGTAGTTCACTACGTGGAAGCGCAGATAGCCTTCACTTGTTTTAGCATTAATTCTGAGCACGTTCCTACTTCAGTAGAAGAATGTAGGCACGAATGTGTTTCCTCAAATGTGCAGTCACGTGATCTGAATTCGTATTTAAAAATTGCTCAGAACAGAATTTTATCGCCTTTTTCTTGTAGCGAAGCCGCACCTTTGAAGACACTTGTTTCGCTTCTTGCATATCTTCGAGCTATGCAACAGCATAAGGTGAGAAGATTGGAAATGATTCTGGAATTCGTAGAATGCTCGATATTTTCCTCAGTTCAGGTAGTGCGGAGTAACCTTTCACTTTTCTCTGCACATCCTGAAATTCACGAAGCCCTCATCTATATGACCATTGACTGCAACCCTTCGGTGGAAGACGGTGTAGCGGAATGTGTAAGTTTGTTTATTGAAGTGACATGATTTATTCCATTTGTTCTCTATCTCCGATTATTTATGCTTTTTGATTTACTCTTCAGCCTTATTAAATAGGTTTAGATGGACGATATTTTAACTCGCGTGGATCTTATTGAAGAGCTATGGAACCTCTGTCATCGTGGGTTTGAGGTATGTTCAGAGTCAGTTACTTAGTGAGAATTAAGATGTTCTTACCTTTTTACATAGTTATTTGCTTAAAAAGAATTCGCTGTTCCACTAGTTTTCAATTGGGTTTTATTGATAAACGTAAATGTGGAGAATCAGGAGCAGGAATTTAAACAGAATTTTAGTTGACATGTGAGCGTTTTCCACATATGAAATCGTATTATCGACTAGCAGAAATGGAGTTGAGCCAAGGAAATATTGAAGTAGCTTATGTCCACCTCTTAAAACACGTGTTCAGGCGAAGGAAGCGTGATGATTCCCTGTTTGATGTGAGTATTCCTTACATAATTTCTCGTTAAGTTTTCCCATCCTGAATGTAGCAGTTTCAGAGCATTGTTGGGATGACCTCACAAGACATAGACCGCTCAGGATCGTTTCCATATCATGTGGAACGTGCCTTGAAGTTGACAATGTGTCTAGCATATAAATTGAAGGACATATCTACTATAATCAACATAATAAGAACTCTTGTTGGAAACATAGAGCGTAGAAGCGAGTACGTTGTCTGGATTGTTTCTGGATCGTGTGCGAGGGTCTTAAAGTCATTCGATTAAATCTCATAATATCTTATGTAAACTTTTTGAGAGAGTTTATTCTGAAAGAAAGACATGGTGCATTACTAACGCATGCTGTTAGTCGTCTTCATATTTTGGCGATGGAATCCTCATCACCAAAGCACCTACGCTCTGATATGTATCGTGCTTGGCAGGCCGTTAGCAAGTAAGTAATTTAATATTTATGAATGTGGCGTTTTCTTGTTCAGCAATCGCGAGGTTTTTAAACAGCATACATTTACTTCCATAAAAAAACACAATACAATACAACGCTAGCTGACGTTTCGGCAGTATCGTCCGACTCTCGTCGTCGTCAACCACATGCAACTATAATCAGCTGTTCTAAACTCCCGCATTGGAAGTCACGAAAAAGCGGCTCTGAAGAAGACCGCTGTTTAAAAACCTCGCGATTGCTGAACAAGAAAACGACACATTAATATTTATGGGTCGATTTATTGTTTAATTAGATAAATGGCCTGTCTTCACGTGAAGTGCTGGCTGCAGCATTGCTTCCACATGTGTTATCTTGCATTTAGCATCCTTAAAGGTGATCAGTTCTTCCCTATGTTTATTGATTCGCTTGTCACAGAGCATTTGTGGTCTTTCCACGTTATCGACTTGTTGAAGTTGTCTTTGCAGATTCATCTTGGTGAACTTGAAGAAATACATTGTTTGTTACCACTTTTTCCAACCTCCTGATCCTCATGACAGGCATTCGCCGTTACTCGTCGATCCGGGGAGGTCTGATGCGTTGCGATTGGAATTCTTGCAGGGCGGCAGCGATTTCTGGCAATAGTCGACGGGGGACGATTTAGCAGATCGAGTTTTGTTTTATTGCACTACCGGATGCCCTCAGTATCCAAATGCGTATTGTAGGTCTCGTGTGGCGCAGTGGTTGGAGGCGCCCTTCACGTGGGTTCGACCCAGGCACCGGAGACTCACTAAGCCTTCCATCTCTCCGGGATCGGTAAATTGGTACCGAATTTATCTGAGAGGATAGCAGTACTGGCTCGATGCATCGGTAGGCCACCGTGTGTCATTGTAAGGGCTAGATGTACATTGAGTGACCTCTAAACGATGCTTAATGAAGTCGAGTGCATGTCGCATCCTTCAGGGATTGATCAACGCCGAAAGCTTTATCCTTTATTCTTTTTTAAACCAGGCGTTTTGATGTCACTTGTCAAATTTTTTGTTTTAGCGCTGTGGATAGCTTCTTTTATTCTTAAACAGAGTGTTTATTTTGATGCAAAATAGCCGCAGTCAGATCTTATACTAGGACTTCCTTTTACGTTTTCAAATGTTTAACCTTATGTTATTTTTTAAAAACATTAATATAGGTATTCTTTCATTGATAAGCTAGCACAAGGTCGATGAAAAATACAGCTACCGTTTCGATATCTTCGGCTTCCTCAGTTTAGTAACTATTCTCCGAATAGTTCCTGTTTTCTACACCATCATGTGCTTCTTGCAGTAACTGCACATACTGGTAATAATTCTACACCTATCCTTGCACATTCTACACGTTATTTCGTAGCTACGATCTAATGCACCTTCGTCGCAGATGTCTGGAAAGTAATTCTGTAGCTTCCTTTTTAGCAACTGTTCTTCTGCGTCCGATAGTTCGGGCACTGAAGAAGCAACTACCAGCTGCAGGCATTCCTCAGCATCTGTCGTCCCAGTCTGCTTTTTGTATAAGCTGCTGCATCGCTATCACATGTATTTTCTGTAAAAGCTTTTTGTACGTGGCCTTGAGAAACATCCTACAATCGCCCTTTCAGCATTATCTCGAGTCCCCTCTCTCATATTCCTCCTATTGTAAGACAAATATAAGCTGGTTCATAAGTTCTCAGAACTACCCTCCACAGTTCTCTCCACGGCTCTCTACTAGTTCACTCTACCAGGACCCTTATAGTGCTCTTTTTGGGACTGAATCTTGTATATTTCACGCTTCTCTGCCGCGTAGCATATCCACACAAAACGAGCAGTCTGTCGAGCTAGTAACTCTGACACCTAACTGTCTTGCCACAGGCTTTATCAAGATCGGCAAGTATTCGTTCTTCTTGGGTAATATTTGTTATTATAAGAACGATATTATCAGCAAAGCGAGGATGTAATTGCCGACTGTCGATTTGCACTCCCATGTTGTCCCATTCTAATGTTCGCATGACGTTCTCGAGGGTGACGGTGAATAATTTTGGCGAGGTGGTATCGCCTTTCCTAATCCCTTCTTTTCGGAACCCTGCTAGGTCACTTGGCTGCCCTTCGTCCAGTGTTATGTCAATCCTGTTTACGATGACTTGAGTAGAAAGTTTGTAGACGACAGATAGCAAGCGGATTGGGCAATAGTTGCCGATATCGTGGAGGTCACTCTTCTTGAGCAATAGCTCGGTCTTACTGGTCTTCCACTGAGGAGGGACCTTGTTTTCGGTCAGGTAACGTGTGAAGAGCCGAGCCAGTGTGTTTACGAGGACTGGCGGAAGGTTCTTCAGGTGTTCTGGTTTTATCCTGTCCGGACCTGGTGCTGTTCGATTTTTCACCGACGAAATGGCAGGTCGGATTTCGAAAGGGAGAACCGGTGGAACAACATATCCACCCTCCTTTAATTCATATGACGAAAGGTGGACGTGGCTATCGAAGAGATTCTAGTAGTATTCGTGAATGATTTTCTCCATTGCCTTTCTGGACGCTGTAACTGTTTTATCTGGGCGTCGAACTGCAATCATCTTGATTTTCTAATTGGCGAAGCTTCTTTGGGCTTTGTGAATGCCTTTCCCAGCCTCTGAAACTGCAATCATAATTACTGCTCTTCTCTTTTTAAGATCTTCTTTTATCTCCTGCCTGAGTTGCTTTGCAAGTTCGAACGTTAGTTCGCAGTTGCCTGCAGCTCGTGCGATTCCACGCTAGCGTATCAGCTCGAGTGTTCCTGGAGACAGATGTCTTTTGGTGACTTTCGAACTCTCATCTTTCATAGCGCTAACGTGAAGGTATTGAATGAGCCGATCGTATTCTTCATCGATGTTATCGATAACGGCTTCTTCCCAACAGCCGATTAATGGATTGAATAGGCCCCAGTTTACGGTGGTTCTGGGACTTCGGTTTTTCAATTTAGCGACTTTTTCTCCTTTCCGCGAGAAATGGAATCTTGCACGAAGGAGAGGTGGTCTGATCCCGTGTAGAATTTTGGGTCAACAGTGACATCCGTTTGGCAAAACCTATTTACTATGATGTGGTATATTTCGTTATGGTACTCTCCACTGGAAGACTCCCACTTCTAGCGTTGAGGATCGAGTTTCTGGAATTACGGGTGACCATGGATGCTCTTGGTCGCCATGATAAACTCACCCTGTTCGTTCCATTCTAATCCTTAGGTGCCAATATGCCGTTCTTCAGGCGTTCTTCTTGGTCCAATGTTACTGTTAAAATCTCAAATGGTGACCTTGAAGAATGTATGGTCTCCTTTTTAGAACTTCTCCAAGTCGATATAGAACGCTTCGACTTCTTCGTCATAGTTTGATGTCGGCGCGTAAACGACGAAGACTAGCAAAGCCGGAATTTATCCACATCTTTTTAATCGTAAACGTCCGATTCGGGTTGTAAGCTGTTCGAATGAATCGATGTTCATGGAAAAACTCGTGTTGACGAGAACGCCAACACCGCCAACTCCTTTACTGTCGCATGTTCCGAGGAACAGTTCTTCTCCGGTGCTGATGTCATACCTTATCCTTCTCGTTTGCATGATCAAGTCTTCTTTCGAGGACTCGGATGCAAGTTTGCGTGCATTGTAGGAACAGATCGTCACTATAGTTCTTTGTAATCCAGGCAGCTTTGATTGGCCCTGAGATTCTAGCAGGCTCTTCCTACTCATCCTATGCAACGCTGCCAAATTGGGGTCCTTTTTGGGGTTAGGCGAATGAGGTCCGTTTCTTTTACGCTTTTTAGCTTTTTGATACCCACCATAGCTTGCTGGGCTCTGAACTTGGGCGCTGGATATACTCATGGTTTTCTTACTGGGCTCTCCCGGAGTGGACATGGACCTTATTTGTTCGAGGCAACTCCTAACCGCCTCCCATATATTTTCCTGTCACTTGATTGCAGGCTTTTGGTCCTTGGTTAACCCCCTATCCGCATCCTGGGTACACACCACGTAGCTTGGGACTAACCGGATCGCCATCCCACATATGAGGGAGGTCCGTGGGAAGACAACTCAAATAAAAGAAAAAAATAAAATGAAATAAGCAAGCACATCTTCTGAGAAGGATGTGTGTTAATTCGGCACTGCAAAGCACTGCAAAAAAATTTAGTTGGTCTCTTTATTTGTTAAGTAATCACTGTTTTACCTAAACCCATCCGACTAAGTTGCTATCGTCCACATCTTATTCACTTGCGTTTCTTCTCTCCTATTAGAGCCTTTGAATCATTAAAATAAACCTTTTTATTTAGATGTAAATCGGTTTGTGTCCGAAATGCTCAATTCCGTCTACAAGTTTTGATTCAGAAGATTTTTGGTTCAGTAGAACATTTTGTTGCTGAGCAGTTGGTCATTGACGATCACAAGAAGAAACATGTTCGGGTAAGAATATGGCAATAAGTGTTGCAAAGTCTTCATTGCAGTGTTTTCTTTGTAGAAACGGAAACTTACTTCATATGATCTGGGCGTGTCCCATCCTCATGTTGTCCGCGAGGTTGGTCTCTCATCACTTCATCATGGAGTTGTGAACACCAGCTCAGATACTGTGAAGTATATGCGTTTAGCCTTACATTCGTAGTTGATCTCATTTGTTCTGCTTGTTGTCAGAAGAATATTTGAGTATGCTTTGTTGTGCAATACCGGGTACATAATTTTTGGAACTAACTGCTCTCATCTTTGCCCTTTATAACTGAAATCTCATTACAGGAATAGCAACTCTAGGTAATCCGCCTAACTTTATGGATAAATTATTTGTTGTAGTTGTATATGTCCGATTCAACTTGTTCCATCAGTGAATACCTCAGTCCTCTCGTAATAATCTTGTCATCTAAAGTTATATATGCTGAATTTAAGCTCCGGTCATGGATTGCATAGTAGCCGCGTCCACTGGTGCTCTAAAAGGTTGACGCCTTTTTGTCCTCTACCTTCTGCCAACTTTACCTCGTCTTTAACAAACTTTTCTTTACAGGAATAAATTTGCGCGAAAATTCGTTCATAAATCTCTTACCGGTGAAGACGTTAGCCCCAAAGCAACATGAAATAACAAGCATGATTTGGTCTTGTGAAAGACAGGTATGTTACTACCAGTATTCACATTGCGGTAGTCTCAGATGAGTGTTTTATATCTTCAGTCTGATGTCTTAGCTGCGTTGTTGGATCGTCAGCTGAAGCTCTACGATACTCAGACTAATACGTTTTACCCGCTGTTTAATATGACTGGTGGTGAAGGAGCTGTTCAAGGTCTTCACTCTGTTCGAGGGTATTCGTGTAGAGGATCTTACCTTCTTTTGACGTAGATTTTAAAACCAATGAAGGGGTTTTGGTGACATCTGTTTTTTGTGTTTTTCTTTGTGTTTTCCAGATTATTAACACTGAATTTAGTGCTAAAATCGTTTCATGCGTCGAATCAGGTCTTACTAGTGTATGGGATAGAAATGGTGAGTGCTGTGGCAAATGGGAAGCAGGTGCAGGTGTGAGAGTTATGAGAGGTACGGTGGGTTCTTTTTGTGAATGATTGACACTTTAGTTACAATGTTATTGAGGTATTTTTTCTGCATATTTAAGGATTGACTACGCGAAATGAGGTTCTAACTGGTGGCACGAAGCATTTAGTGAAGACATGGGATATAGAAACTGGTAAACTTCTGTGGTCTGCAAGAAATGTTTGTTAAATGACTTTTTCATGGTTCCTTAATATGCCTGTAAATCGTCTTTTACTTTTTTTAGGTCCCATTAAATTTTCTTGACATTGAAGTACCCATTGCATGCACCGATGCTCGGTATGTGGATCATTCTGGTAGCATTATCGAAGCAACGAAGTTACATGAGGTGCGATTTTGCTAGCTGCTCATTTGTTTCTTATTTTGCTTGTTTATGAAGCATTCATCTAAGAACGTGTTTGCTTGGTGTTCTTCTCTGCACAGTTCTTCATTTGGATTCATATGTTCGCGTTTTTTCTCCGTTTCAATTTGTTCCACCCCCACATACTGTCAGAAGAATATTTGAGTATGCTTTCTTGACATTGAACATTTTTTATTTTATTGCTGGCTATATAGGATTTTTTCTCCCTCTATACGACACTTCTTTCACATCTATTGTGAGAATATCAGCACTTCTCACATTCGATTCTCTCCTCACATCCATAATGTGCGATAGCATTCCAACTTTTACGTGTCGCTTTGCCTGCTGCTTAAGGATCTTCCTTTAATCTTGAATATCCTTGAACACTTGAAAGTCAGCAATGAACCTAGTTTAGCTGAGGTTTTGGGCTCTCCAGATCAATCTCATTGATGAGTAGATGGCACTAGTGAGTAGAAAATTATCTGAGAGACAGGCGAAACGAAGGATCCGCACGGTGTGGCGGTGAACGCGTTAGCCCCCGGAAAAGGTAATAGCGCGTTCGTTCTCCACCACAGACAGCTGTGATCCGAAGCTTTGCAAATATCTCATCTTGGTCTTGTAATTAGCTAAGCTTTGTTGTGCTTTGTGAATGCTTTTCCCAGCCTGTCCAGCTTCGACCATTACTGCTGCTCTTCTTTCTTTAAGATCTTCTTTTATCGCCTGTCCGCATTATTTTGCAAGTTCGGACGTTAGTTCGCAGTTGCCTGCAGCTCGTGGGATTCCACGCTGGCGTATCAGCTCGAGTGTTTGTGGAGGCAGACTTCTCTTGGTGATTTTCGAACTCGCAGTTTTCATAGCGCTAACGTATCGATGTTGAATGAGTCGAACATAGTTCTTGTTAATGTAATCGAAAACAGCATCTTTCCAACGACCGATTGAAAAATTGAACAAATTCCAGTTCACCGTGGTTTCAGGATTTCTTCTTTTTGACTCCATCCGCTTTTTCTCCTTCCCGCGAAAAATAGAATCTTGTAGAAAGGAGGCGATAGCCTCGCCAGGTGTAAAATTTTGGGCCAGCAACATTGGTTAGGCAAAACCTTCGATTTACTGTGATGTCGTCTATTTCATCATTGAACTTTCCATTGGAAGACTCCCACGTCCAGCGTTAAGAGCGGGGTTTCTGGAATTGCAAGTTATTATGGATGGTAGTGATCGTCATGATAAACTGAAGGAGCCGCTCACCCTTTTCATTCAATTCTAATCCGTGGGTCCCAGTGTGACGTTCTTCTTGATCCAGTCTTGGCGTTAAAATCTCCAATGATGACCTTGAAGAATGTATGACCTTCTTTGTAGAATTTCTTCAAGTTCCTATAGAACGCTTCGACTTCTTCTTCGTCATTGTTTGATGTCGGCGCGGAAACGACGAAGATTGTCAAACCCGGTATTGATTCACATCTCTTCAATTATAAACGTCCAATTCGGGTTTTTAGTTGTTCGAATGAATTGTTGTTCATGGCCGAACTTATGTTGGCGAGAACGCCGAAGGCGCTGACCCCTCTATTGTCGCATGTCCATGGGCACAGTTCTTCACAGTTGTCATAGACGGCGTGGAATGGATGGCGCCTCCTCGTGTCGGCCAGTCCGATGACATGGTACGTTATCCTTCTTGCCTGCATGAACAAGTCTTCTATCAAGGACTAAGATGCTAGTGTGCGTGCATAATAGAAACGGATCCCTGTCGCGTGCAGGAGTAGCCCGGTGGGTTCTGCTCGCTCTAGGAACTCGTCGAGCATCGTATCTTTCTTTAAGGCTATTTGTGAAGAGCTCTGATCATCGGGTCAGTGGTCTTTCTGCAATATGTTTGACATCCCGAGGAACCCAGTCACTAACGCCTCTTGTCCATCGGTTGTCACTCATAGGCATTACGTGTTCGGTCCACCTTATCTTCGACTGTTTGACGTACAGAACGGCATCTTTGATTTTTGATCGTTGACACAGATAGGAGCTCCGGATCCCGTCCCTTACTTGTGTGGAACGGGACAGTCCTACCATCGTCCTATCCCATTCCAATGTTCGGGGGACATTCTGGGGGGTGGCAATAAATAATTTTGGCTAGATGTTATCGCCTTGCCTAATTCCTCTTTTGACGTCAATGTTAATATCGTTGTAGAATGGTGATACCTTGGTTGTGAAATTTTTGTACAGCTCACGAAGAATCTTTAAATACTGGGTAAGGAATCCTTGACTATTAACGGCTTCCAAGACTGCTTCTATCCCAACTGAATCAAAGGCCTTCTGTAAATCGGTGAAATTGAGACGGAGTGGTTTTTTGTACTCTCGCGATACTTCAATGAGCCTTGTTGTCTTGTGGGTGTGATCCACCGTACTAAATCCTCTTCGAAACCCTGCTTGCTCACATGGTTGTCCTTCGTCTAGTGTTTTGTCAATCCTGTCTAGGATGACCCAAGTGAAAAGTTTGTAGACGACAGACAGTAAGCAGATTGGGCAATAGTTGCCGATAGCCTGCAGGTCACCCTTCTTGAACAATAACACGGTCCTGGTGGTCTTCCACTGAGTATGGACCTTGCATTCGGACAGGTAACGTGTGAAGAACCGAGCCAGTGTGTTTGCGAGTACTGGCGGAAGGTTCTTCAGGTGTTCTGGTCTTATCCTGTCTGGACCTGGTGCTGTTCGACTTTTCACCGACGAAATGGCATGTCGGATTTCGGAAGGGAGAACCGGTGGTACAACATATCCATCCTCCTTTATTTCATATGACGGAAGCTGGACGTGGCTATTGATGAGATCGGAGTAGTATTCGTGAATGATTTTTTTCCATCGCCTTTCTGGACGCTATAACTGATCCGTCTACATATATGTATATATATATATATATAGTGCATGCATTTATATATGTATATATATATATATATACATATATATATATCCATATATAATGCATGCATACATATATGTATATGTATATAGCTCAAAAGACCAACTTTCTATGAACATTGGCATAAATAGTTTACATATTTATTTATATGACCTTATAAACTGATGTTGTTGAGCTGATGCGAGGTTGGTGTAGTTCTTCGTTCTCGCTGCTGTCGGTGTTCTTGGTCGATGGCTGACGTTTCCGAGATTTTGCGTTCCTCAGGACCTTGATGTATTTTATGTAACAGTAGTCTTATATTCGGTGAAATATTTATAGTATTAATGAAGATAAAACTTCCAAATAAACCGTGCTGTTACGAGTGGGACTGGACCACGCTTTGTTCACGTGTGGTCGCAAACGAGAGCCACCCAGTGGTCAAAATCTCATTTTGAAATAGGGCTCCAGGTCACTTGTAATACTGAGGCCTTCGTTTTTCCGGTTCATCTTTGAATTTTTTCAAGATCAGTTTATAAGATCATGTAATTAGGTAAATATATATACATATATTCTTGTGTTGATAGTTTCTTGTTGTTAAGTAGTTTTCTTCAGTTAAACAGTTGTACAATCAAATCACTTAGCGTCTTTGTAGCTTCGCCTGTACGATCCAAGAGCACAGCGCCGCCCGTTGAAGTTGATTCCTTTCATGGATGTGCCAATAACTGCAGTGAGCAGGTGTTATCGCGACAATCATGTATTAGCAGCTAACTCAATCGGTGAAATGGGACTGTTCGATTTGCGTAGTAAAGGTGGGACTAACCTTCTGTCATTCCTCATTGGTAACGCTTGTTTGTTGAAGAGTGGTCCTACGGCATTTTCAGTTCATCCCGTTTGCAAATACAAAGGTCAGGCTGGAGCCATCCGTTCTATTGACGCACATCCGACTGCTCCATACGTCGCTTCTTGCGGCATTGATCGGTTCGTGCGGGTTCATGATATTGACACAAGAAAACTTGCTCATAAGGTGCTGTAAATTATGATAGGTTACTATTGTTGTAATTTCACTCTTTCTTTACATTTCCCAAATATTTGTCTTTATTTTGTCTTGTTTTTAATGTGCTCTTATAGGTCTACTGTAAAACTCGTCTCAACAGAGTGTTGATGCGATCCGAGCTTCCGAGTCTCTCAACTGTTATTGAGGGTAAAAGTGATCAAGAGTGGGCAGAATTAAAGGTTTATTATTTGTTACGTTGTATATGTTGTTTCAAAAACGCTCATTAACTAAGTGAATTCAATAATTATGGGTTTAGAGTTTTAAATATGTATCTCTATATGCATATATATACATATATATATACATGTACATATATATTTATATATATATATATATTGGTGCTGAGGGAAGCGAATGTAGCACAATCCTATCCTAGAGATATCCTACAGTTCACCCATGAGCAGTGGCTCAACGCCAGGCCCCCGGTTCAGCGAGTCTTCCATCCATCTAGGGTTGACAAATTGCTACTAGATCAATCCGGGAGAATGGTAGCACTGACTCAATACATCGATAATGCAACGCGAGTCATTATATAGACCAGATATGCACTCACCGCTGACGATGTTTGATAGAATCGAATGCATAGCACATCCCTAAGTAATTCATCAACGCCTATCGCCTTATCCTTTTATCCTTTCAGCTGATACTGAACTCTGGGAAGCTGCTAAGTTGGTTCAAAAGTTATGGCATTCTTTATCATACCATTATTCAATGTTGTATCGCCATTTTGTTGGATAATGTATCGTATTTGCAACGACTTCATATTTGTACAAGAAAAAGTGGAATTACTGGTCATGACTATCTAAGCGAAATCCTCTCCATTTGCAATTTTATCCAGAAATATGAATACGTGGTGATGAGGAGGTTTTCTTTGAACAATTAAATAGACTAAACCCCAGCCAATTTCCAGTATTTGCCGGCTCGTCAGGGATGCGTACTCTTTCGTATTATGATCATGGGACACTAATACATTGCCTACCATCTCTAATTGCTCAGAAACATCAGTGCCAAGTATTCCCTCAAATCTGGGGCCGTTCGCCATTGGTAATTTTCAATGCACACATATAATTTGTCCATTGTGCAGCACACTCTTTCCGACAGTAAAAGACTGTGGTCTTTAGAAAATGCCTTCCTTTTTTCACAGAAACTTTATAAACTTATCATAATACCATTCTCATAGTGTTTATTTTCGTATCCTCATTGAAATGACATTCATAGAATGGCACATGCATACCATAAGCTTGGCCTTCAAAGCGGCGCGAATTCGACGCAGAAACCCTCAAGACATAAACATGGGGCGAAAAACTTTTCTAATTAAATAGGACCTCGGCATTATTTATTGAATAATGTTTCTATGAAAGTAAAGAATGAGAATTTTTGGCAATCAAGGTGACTCTAATTCACTATTTATCTTCGTAGTTCAGCCATAAAAAACTGTTGATAAATAAAGTGATAAGTCTTTCGTGTTATTCTTAAGCCGTTGCGGTGATTATTCCTAAGGAACTGCAGTCGGATATCATTCTGAGGAAGCGGATGCTAGGAATTTGTTTTAGAAGGAGATTAACTGCGATAGCGATGCCCACTCGACCAATAGTTCGGATGATGACGAATCCATTGACGAATGTACATGGAAGAGGCTACCATTGAGTGACTATGAAAGTTTTTCAAATGAACCAAAGGCCATTCAGATTTCCGATAAAAAGCGAAAAGAGGGCAAAACAGTAACTGCGGAAGAGGTGGGCATCTGTATTAAAGTACTTATTGCTGGATGCTTTACCTGTTTGTTTGCAAAGCGTGATTCTTCCAGAAAGCCGACGACGAACCCGCGTCGAAAAAGAAGCGAATTTCACAAGCTAAGAAACGTAAAGACGGAGTGATCTCTGGAACAGTAAGGCTGTGCTAATTTGTTCATTTCAATACATGTTTTTGTTGAAAGTACGGTGGTGTGCATTTAGTTCAATGCGTGTGATGCAGAAATAATGGTTGCTTTGAAATGTACGAGGGAATATACCATATCACGGTGATGTTTATTATGAAATGAAAGCCGTGAGAATATAGAGGCCTTTAACAACGGGGCGCGAGGTATCCCGCTGGCAAAGGTCTCTGTGTTCATTGGCTCTTTATATATTCATTCGATTATTGCACCATGAAGAAATCCTGTTTCCTGGAGCTCACGAAGTTTCTTCGTTGGGGTTCATATTTCACTTTATCGAAGCGATTGAAAAGTCAGAATTTCGTAGAACTGGGCTTCTGGTGCTCGCAGTGTACTCTTGATGTTGGTGGCTGCCACGCTTGTGTTGGAAATTTGAAAAAGGTGGAGCAATACATAAAAGTTTTTACTTACTCTTGGAACATTGGTCTGTTATGCAAATCTGTTTAGTTCAAAACTCTCACTACTTTAATTATCAAAGAATTTTCATCTGTTAAGTTATCGAAAAGCCTCTATCCATCTTGTACATGTTAGTGCTTACACATATTATTATTATTATTATTATTACTATTATTATTGTGTTATTTATCTTGTTATTGTTCATAAACGTATTTCAATGTGAGATGGCCACATTAGGCTTCCATATGTTTGCTCATTATAAATATTGCGAACTATTCGTCATTTCATCGTTGACGTTTTCTCCAATGACAGACAAGTACAGACAGCAACGTAGAGGATTTCACTATGAGCCATTAAAAATGGACCAGATTAATTAAGTAGTTCTTTTCACCACGCACCATGCAATTCCCAGCACTTCTTGTGTTCTATTCGTTTCCAGGAATCCATCATGCACAGAAGTTTTGGTGGGTTTAGGTTTGATTTCTGCTTTAGAATGTCGTTGAGTGCTCTTTGAATCGACCCGCCTTAAAACCTAATAGTATTAATCACATTCAACACATAGCGCCAGCGCGGTTTTTATCTCTCTACCGTTTGGAGCGACGTCCAATTTTCAGCTTTACGGATTTGCTGGTTTTTGACTACAAGCGATAATTTTAGCTGCGGGACTTGAGTGATTATGAGTACTACAAGTTTTTAGAGGAGACTTTGCTACTTTGCCATGTATTTTATGGGCATGCATGGAACGTAGGCTGCTATTTACTGTATGTGATTACGACTCATCATGGAAACACATTGCTGTCAGCATTTGGATTACCTGTTAAGGAATCAGTCAATGAACTCTATTGAGAAAAAGTGTTTATATATCTCCAAGTGCGGAATAGTGCTCTTCGCGATCAACGCCCACTGCAACACATGTTGAAATAGATGTCGATTGTTTGGAAGAAGTGTAGAAAAAGGTTCTGTGTGTCAGAATAAGCCGTCGGAATGTAAGTGGTCCACCAAGTAGCTCAAACTGACCGGGGATTAACAGATGACGCTCGAAACTGGCTTTCGAGAGCGCTGTTGGAGCCTGCTGGACAATCTCACTTGTTCAGTTGTTTCGGTATTCGAATTATGACAAGAAGTAGGAGAGTGGTTAGAATGTCGGCTCCTTAAAATCAAAGTTTTACAATGGAAGAAAGAAATACTCATATCTTATTGAATATCTCATTGACAGTAGTTTGTTGATTGTTATGGCTTTCGCACCAATTCCTTTGCAAGGACCATCTACTACTTGTACTGTGCGGATACCACCACTTCTTGCATTCGATTTGTTTCGTAGCATCCATCATCCACGAAGGTTTTCAAACGTTTGCGCGTGGTGTCATCTGCTTCTTGAAGATAGGCGTCTTTTCTATGAATCGTGGTAGGGTCGATTCTGTCTGGAATATTGGAATAGCCGAGCCGGAGCACTCTTATTTGGAGTAGAAAATGTGAACTATTCTTAGCAAAATCTGGAAAGTATTTACCTCGGAGAGATGAGTGGTTTGGTGAGTCCGTGATGAATGACACCACTACTAATGCGCTTACCCACATTAGTAAACTTAAATATTTTCTGAGATACGTGAACATCAGCTTAAGATTGGGCATATTTTTCGCACCAAATGCACTGTTCTCAATGCGTATGGAGCAGTGTATGCCCAAATATCGGTACTGCTTTTACAAGTGCTGCGCTATAGTTTTATTGCAAGGAATACTCAATAGGAATTTGGTTATATCATCTATATTTCTTTTGTTTTCATTTGCTAAACGTGAAAAGTATGTACCATGTTGAGTGGTCGAATCTGTCAGGTAGGAGAATAGCGAAAGCATTTTAAAAAGATTCTTGGAAAGATTATTGTTATTTTGTTGTTTTATTAAAGACGATTTCTCTCTATAAAACTGTCATCGAAATGAACTAGGAAACCAAGGAGGTTTATTATTACTCCAAACCTGATACTTGAATGGCCCGTCCTCACTGGTGGTGTGGACTCCACCATAATCTCCAATTTTTTGGAGATTTACTGGTTAAGCCATTGTGGTTCCCTGGAATCCCGAGGTCAATCTGGCCAAAGTCTGCCCCAAGTCGTCACCACCACAGGTAGTCGTAACCTTGTGGATTAGAGGATTTGCAACCAAGCGTATTCGTACCAGGATGCTGGTGGATTTTGGTATTGGTTTGGATTTACTATTAAGCTTTACATTTCCTTGCGCATCAATAAATCGGGTTCTCCTAAGAAATAGGAAAAATAAAGAAAATAAATTAGAATAAGAAATTAGAAGAAAAGTTTTTGAAGAAGAGAGAAAAAAAGAAATTTTTTCAAATAATTTAGGAACACCATGATGTGCGAAAGAAGATGAAGATTGAAAAGGGAGTCAAACGGAGAGACGTGAAGGAAGAGGTAACAGTCATAAAATAAGGTCTTTTTAGCCTAAATTAGCTCGGAGACATTTTCTCGTGGACTGCAGGAAATTTCTTAAGGTGGACTCGGATGAAGAGCCTTTAAAAAAGAAGAAGTTGAGCAAGAAGAAAAAGAGGAAGATTCCGTCGTAGTGATAATTACCATTTGTGTACATTTTAATTGATTTTACTGTATATTCCTTCAATGTGAGTTGCCTGATCATCTTTTAATTTGAGAAGTTTTGGAAGAAATTAAACAGTGAGCTAGTATTCGTTGTCGTAAATATATTCTGTGTAGATAGTCTGGACTTATGCGAATTAGTTCTGCTAAGATGGTCTGAACTTCTGTGGATTAGTTCAGCTATCTCACACCATGACTGTTGTTGTTCTGTTAAATACTCTTTCTTACTTTGTTGTCACTGAATTTAGTTGTTTTCCGGTAACCCACTATGGAAACCTTTGCTTTGCCTTTCTCTCAACAAGAATATGGCCTAGAATCTGAGTTTTGCAAATATCGCGTAAGAAATATCGTTTGTTTATCGCTTATATTTCAGGTTAATCTGAAATAAGACGGGTTTTCGGAAAATGTCTTCGCAGCAGTTCCTCGGTTACTTGGATGGCCCGTCTTCACTAGTCGCGCGGGTCCTATTATAATTTTCATTTGGCCGGCATTTGTCGGTTAAGCCATCGTGGTTCCTTGGAGTTCTGAAGTCAGCTTTTTTTTCCAGCTAGCCGAAGGTTTATTCAGATCACCATCACCACATGCATTTGCCCTCCTTATGGATCAGAGGTAGACCTATCACTTTGCAACCAGTTCGATACCAGGGGATGGTGATACCTGTTACTGGTTTACTCTTTGGTGGTCTTACGGATAGAAGCGTAGGATCCATTCCCAGCTTGGGAAGCCGTTCTGGGAGATAAGTACATGTACATCGCAGCTGGACACGAGGAACGCCTACCAGCTGCGACTAGCTGTGAACCCTTGAGACGGTGTTCCCAATATAGTGTATGTATAGACTCTAGGGAAAAGTCTTTTCTAAAATGACGTCA